CACTCTAGCACTTGAGCTACAGCTCTACATCTGACTTTTAGGTGGCTAATTGTAAATAAGAGTCCATAGACTCTTGTTCTTACCAGTTCTGGGGCTTGAACTCAGGGCCTGGGCACTATCCTTGAGCTTCTTTTGCTTACTACTCTGCTGTTTATGTAGTACTGAGGAATCGAATCCAGGGCTTTATGCATGCTAGGCAAGCATTTTACCACTAAGCCACATTCCCAGCCCATGGTTGCAAATTTCTTAAACGACAAAAGAAGGTGGATAACAGAAAGTAAAATCATTCCTACTTCTGCCTTCCAGAAAAATCTGCCACCTTGAAGCAGGCACTTTCAGGAACCAGGTTTATTCATGACCATGAAGAAACACAGTAGAGTGGATTCCCATCTCTTTGGGAGAAGAAACAGCAAACTCTGGAATGGAATGAAATGGTCCTGTTTAGTGGTGACAGATACCAAAAAATACTTTCCTTTCTACTTTGTCCTCATCTTCACCTGCCCAAGTCCTCCCAGAGCTGCTTCCTCTGGGATACCTTGCCTCTGAAAAATACCCTATCTGTCCTCTGCTCCCCTCTAACATTCTGAGACTCATTCCAAGGCCCTGTGCATAAGGATACTTCCTCTGGTCTGTCTCTCTAGCTGATGCTTTGGAGTGGGGTAGGATTTCCTGCTACCATACATCATTCAAGCTGCAGGTCAATAAATGGTCATATCCTTGCCTGCCTGCCTACCTTCCTCCCTTCTTCCCTCCCTCTCTCTTCCTTCCTTCCTTCCTCCCTTCCTTCTTTCTTATTTCCTACTTCCTTCCTTAATTCCTTCTTTCCTCCTTCCTTCCTTCTTTCCTTCTTTCTTATTTCCTACTTCCTTCCTTATTTCCTTCCTTCCTTTCCACCTTCCTTCCTTCTTTTGCAGTAGTGAGTATTGAACTCAAGACTTGCTTGTACTAGGCAAGTGTCTACCACTTGAACCATACCTCCAGTCCTTTTGTTTGTATTTTGCTTTTGAACTAAAATGAAGTGGTAGATCCATGGCTATGATAGTTAAGAAAACACTCTTGGAGGCGAAAGCTAATTAGCAAATAATTCATGGAGTTAAATATAATTGTATAAGGGTAAAACAAAGAAATACAATGGGGCAATGAAAATATATTACAAAGTCGGAATGGTTGGAGAAAGCTGTTCTGACAAGTGCAATCATATTTCACTGAATCTAAAATCATTACTTTTTAAACTTAGTGGTATTGTAAGTACCACTAAGAAAGTACCACTAATTAGAACACATGCTTTTACATTTAGAGTGTTTGCCACTTATTAATGACACAGACTCAGATGTTTGTACATACAATGAAAAGGAACACGAAATCTTAAGAATTGGTTAAGGTCTTCCTAACCTCATTCCTTACCATCAGAGTCTGCTGAATTACTTTTCAACTCAATTCATCCATTTATGACCATGCCATACCATTTTCCATTCCTTCCAGTGCTGCAATTATGTAGAGCTGTTATTTCTGGATCTTTTTTTCTTCCTAGTCCAGGATCTTGAACTCTAGACCTGGGCTCTGTCCCTGAGCTTTTTGTTCAAGGCTGGCACTCTACTACTTGAGCCACAGCACCTTACAGACTTTCTTGCCCGGGCTGGCTTTGAACCCCAGTCCTCAGATTTCAGCCTCCTAAGTAGCTAGGATTACAGGCATGAGCTACCGGCACCTGGCTACTTCTGGAATTTTTTATTTATTCTGCTGATACCCATTCTGCCAGTTCTGATGCTGCTACTTTCTTGATTGTGCCAGAAAGTATCAGTGAAATGTGCTTTAGACAACTGGAACTTATATTCCTTCTTCAAGTGATCCTTAAGTGGTTTCTTACTTGAACACTCAAATTTCCATTGTCCATTTGTGCCATGGGGAATAATAGCCAAGTATATTCATGTGTGGGTGGTGACAAGTTTGGCAGGGCAGCAGCAATTGTAAGATTCATCCCAGTTTCAGAAATGGGAAAATAATGTGCCTTGCAATCAATGAAAATCATTTACAAGAAGTCTAAGAGTAGGTGGGAGCTCTCATTATTCCAGTGACCTGGTGATGACAAGACTCTTAAGTGGATGGCTTTGTGATTTCTCTAATCACTAGATGTCAGTTCCAGGCATCTGAACCACACTGAATGGGAGAAAGGCAGGGAGAAGGGTCAGGAAGGGAAAATATCTTTCCCAGAAATAAATCCCTTATGTCTCATTGACAAGAACTGCATTATAAGGCCATCTATAGCTATGGGGGGGGGGGGGGCGGGATTAGGGATGGGGAAAATCTGTTTCTTACTCACTATTTCAAGAATGGAATTGTGGATGACTTTTGGATAGTTAGCTAATAGAGTATCCCAATTTGGCCAAATACATTTAAGGTACACCGAGTTAAACAACCCAAGAACACTGAGGACTTCTCAGAGCTTTTTACTATGGTTAATATGATTTATTGAATCATGAAGAGTATGGGTATTAAGTTTTTCATACCTAGGAAAATTTACATTCCTATAGGAAATCTAATTTTGTGGGAAACTCTTGGTTGTGCTCAGATGATGAGCTAGAATAACAAAATGAAGGATCAGAATGGGACTATAGCTTTGTGGTAAAGTGTGTGCTCAGCATGTAAGAGGTCCTGGGTCCTATCCCCAGCACCAAAAAAAATTTTTTTGGAAGAAGATAGAATTTTCAAAGATTGTAAGTTAGAATCTGGAGACTTTAAGATACCAGAAAAAGAGAGAGTTGAAATGGTAGAGGAGATTGGGGTTTATGGAAGGAGAATAGGAATGAGATTTTTGAGCGAAGTCTGAACTGGACTAAGAAGTTTGCAAATGTGAGAGAGATGTTGATTTTAAACCTCTTTGTTTTGACTGAGAAGACTAATTTGTTTTCATGACTCTTGTTTCTATGCCCCTGTGATTTCCTTTGACACAGGACTGGGTTGGTACTGAGCTATTATTACCTCCTCTTTCTTAATTCTGCCACTTCCAGTCTTCATGATGCTAGTGATATTGAAGCTAGTCTGACTGGCTTCTGGGAGTGAAATTGAGCCTTTTGCTAAAATGGACAGGTGCTGCTTTTTCTCAGATGTATTGCTGAGCATTTTCAACAACGGACAAAGTACATCAATGGAGTTTAGTCCTTGACTGTTGATTTGGGCTGGGGGTTATTAGGCCTCTCTTGGTCCTCTTGTTGGTCAGACATGATTTTTTTCCTTCTCTGATTTCGACAGCAACTTAGATGTCTCAGCAACTTACATGGTCACCAAAGTTGTCACTGTTGAATATCTACTCTGCCTTAGGTACCCTGATGGGTATTTGAAGGGCATAGTCTCACTAGGGTCTCACCAGCATCTTGCCAGGTGGATGCTGTCTTGAAGACGGTCAATCAGGTGCTAAATTATAGGAGTGGAATATGAATCCAGATCTGACTTGAGAACTGTTGTTCTCTTCACATTTTGTGGCTTCTGTAAAGCACTTCTGCATCATTTGTACCTTTGTCTTCTTACATTTTGTCAGAAATAAAGCTGTAGTTTTGCAATTTCCTAATAATACCTAAGGCAGTTACCCATAGAAAGTATTCACTAAATCATTACTGAACAGATAAATAAGTAAGAAGATGAATGAGGGCCTGGGAATGTGGTTTAGTGGTAGAGTGCTTGCTTAGCCTGCATGCATCGCTGGGTTCATTTCCTGAGTACTACATAAACAGAAAAGGCTGGAAGTGGTGCTGTAACTCAAGTGGTAAGAGTGCTATCCTTGCGCAAAAGACAAGGACAGCACCCAGGGCCTGAGTTCAAGCCCCAGGACTGGCAAAAAAAAAAAAAAATGAAAGAAAAGATCATAGGTTCATGTGATGGCAGAGGCCTATAAACACAGCATTTGGGAGTTTCCCCCACAGTCCCAATTACTCTGTCAGGGTTCCTCTTCTAAGTATGGATTTCTCTCAGCCTGAGACATTCCTGAAGCAGTACTCTAGCCTTCAGCTTTCACTGTGTTTCTTTCCACTGAGACAGAGTCTGTTATCAGGCAGTTAGGACTGTCTCTTCATTATATGATGCACTTGTCTTTCCTAAACAAAGGAAAACAATCACCACCCCTGAGATTGATATCCTGGCACCTTCAGAGTATGAAATAGTTACGGTCAGCAGCAGGGACTTTTTAATGTGCTGGTCTTGAGGACTGAACTCAGGACCTGGGTGCTGTCCCTAAGCTTCTTTTGCTCAAGGCTAATGCTCTACCATTTGAGCCACAGCTCCATTTCTAGCATTTTGACATTTAGAGAAAAAGAGTCTCAAGGACTTTTCTTCCAAGGCTGTCTTTGAACCACAATTCTCAAATCTCAGCCTCCTGAGTAGCTGAATATAGACATGAGCCACTGGTACCCCAGCTTGGGCTGTTTTTTTAGTATCATTTTTCTCTTCCTACCTCATTACTTTTTGGGTATTTTATGAGAGGCTCAAGTGCCACCATAAGTGAATGTGTCATATAAACAGCTGCACAGAAAAAAGTCATGAATGCTGTCACACACTGAAATAACGCTGTCTGCATTTTATATCTTTTGGAAAGAGCAAGGGATGAGCACATAGAAAATTTGGTTTGGCCTTTTTCTAGCTAGATTCTTGTGTACTGAGACTGAGAAGAACCTGGCCATATATGGATTTTTACTGGTATAACAGCAGAGAGGCAACCAGCTGTGTCTAGAGTGCAGGGATTACAGGCAGAAATTGTTCCATGGCCCTGGTAGATCTGGGGCTATAGCAAATCATTGGGTGTCAGGAAGAGAAGAATAATGACTGAGACATAGAGAAGGTCCTGGAATGTGCTGGGCTTGCCTCTCATTGTTTTCAGCAATGTCCTTGGATCCCTACTCCCTTGCAGAGACATCACAGGACTTGATGTTGACCTTGCCCATCCTCAGGGCAAGGCTACCTGTGAACCTGTGATCAGGCCACTGACATGTGCCTTCCTGTATTATATCCAGGGACAGGGTGCCTTATCGGAGAGACTGAGGAGCTTCAGCATGCAGGACCTCACCACCATCAGGGGAGACGGTGCCCCTACTCCCTCAGGCCCCCCACCCCCAGGGCCTGGGCGGGCCAGCGGCAAACATGGCCAACCTAAGATGTCCAGGAGTGCTTCTGAGAGTGCTGGCAGCTCAGGTAGGTGTCTCTTTCATTTCCCCTCTTGCCCATCCTTTAGGCCTCACTTTCATTGGGAGGCTCAGGCCGCCATATGTCATGCAACCTGGCGCTTGCCCTGGTATCTGCCACAAACAAAGATGTCTATCAGATCCTCTAAGGGGCCTAGCACTATTTAGGCTACTCCTAGAAACCTTGCCCTGAGGCAGGTTAAGTCACTGCACTAAAGGGTTCAGTGTCCTTCATTTGATTGACTGGGAAACTAGGGTGTTGAGTGATAGTAGTTGGTAGTATCTAGAGGCAGCAGACACATCTCTCTTTTTTTTTTTTGTTGGTGATGGGGCTTGAAAACACATCTTTTTGTTCTCTGTGATCTCACACTTAGGGGCTTTCCCTGTCCTGAGCACCTGAATGTCTTCTCTCACCCACCCAGGGATGTCAGCTACCACAGCCTCTCTCCCTGCCTGAGTAGTTCCTGTCCCTTCTATCACTCCGCTGTCTTTCTCATCCCTGACCATCCACTCACCATGAATACCTCAGCCCCTCCAGACTAAGGTCCACACTACTCTAAGGTCTAATTTGGGGGGAGGCAACATCTCCACTTCCACTGTCTAACTGATTGTCAAGCACCCAGCATAAGGCTGTCCCCATGAAGACTGACCTGGGAACCTTGTTCCACATGCAGAAAGGATCCTAGACCCATCCCCAGAGGCCTTCATAGGTCGAAGGTGAGACCTAGACATGTGATGCTATGGGAATTAAAATGTATTCAGAACCTCCTGACATCTGATCCACTGGTGTAGGCGTCAGGCTCCTGGAAGATAGACTCATGGACTCAGGAGGTAGGCAGCTGGGCTAGGACTCAGGGTTTTACATACTATTCCTCACAGAGATTGTAGGCTCAGGTGCTCAGCACTGCCATCAGCTAGGGTTGATAATGGGAGGATTGAGGATGGTTTTGGAACTCCTCCTTGTGAAGGGAGTGGGTAGGGAATTGGATCATTCTTTTGGAACTTGCAGGGGTGTGCCTGGTGATCACCCAGGACACCTAGACCCTATGTGCTGGGCGATGTGGCCCGCAGGGACATCTGGACCCCAGATATTGATATATCCTACCTGACTTTGGGTACAGGGATTAAGCTGTGGGGATAATGAGCAACATTCAGATCTGAAATGTCTAAATCTATTGACACTGCTTGATATTTGTTTCCTCCCCTCTCAGGAATGCTCCCTTTGCTTCTCCCCCAGGTTTGAAGACTGTGGATCTTTGTTGGCAAATGCTTTAACCTAGAAGCAGGGCAAGGCTGGAAAGGCAGGCTTGGTTGGGCTTGGGTTGAGGACCACCATAGGGAAGGGTTATCCCCTGAGAGAACTCTCAACTCTAGAACCTAGAATGGAACCTTCAGATTTCAGGCAGGAAGGGACCTTAGGTTATCACTCAATCTGACTCTCTGACTTTACCCTCTGATGTCACCAGCATCACCTGGTAAAAGGCTGCAGTTAAATGTGACTACCTGGTTTCTGGTTCAATGCCCAGTGGTCATTTACCCAAGGACCATCCAGGCTTCATGAGTAGCTACAGCTTCTGACCTGCTATGTATGTATACTACCCAGAAATTCGACCGGCTCATTGGCTACTGAGCCTCAAATGGAAGCTGCATCCTAGAAGAAAAAGGTGTGGGATGATTTGTTTTGGTGTTCTGCTACCTTCCATTAGAACAACCGGTGACATCCCTTGCCACATCAGAGCAGTTGGGAGGAGAGAACCAGCTATGCTGCAACCAACACAACCAACCCTTTCCTGAACTTCCCCTTGGCCTCAGCACCTGTGGCTTCAGGACACAGAGAGGTATCAGCGTCAGGAAAGCCAGGGATTTGTGTCTTTTTCCTCAGCTGTCCTGGGGCCTAAAATAAAAGCCATTCCAGAAAGGAAGACAGGTGAAAGGTAGCCTAGACCCTGGATGTAGAACAAAAGCCTACAAAGAAGGCTTTGGGGCTGTCGTGCCTCTGAGGGTAAGGGTCGGTGGCCCTGGGAAGAATTCTAGCAGAGGAAGTCTACCCACCCAGGGCTGCTATGGCCTTCCAGACATGGCCAGGTAGAAGAAAGAACACCAGAGTAGAGGATCTGACTGGGCTTCTTGCTGGTAACTCTAGGCCTGTGCAGACACAGAAGATGCCACACAAGGAGCAGACATCACTAGGCAATCATGTTGCTTGTTCCTGCTGGGAGTAGATTCAGCTTCAGGATTTTTCCCCAGAACAATTCCCCAGAAGGTCACTTGCATGGATTTGATCTTGATTCAGGCAAAGGTCCCATTCTCTTTTACCTTTTCTTTCAGAAAAAAGGCCCAGTAATCTCTAGTCAGCCTGTGTCTTGGGGCTTATGAGGAGAGAAAAGGTTATTTGCAAACCCTGGGCAGGTGCTGAGCTGAGAACAGTAACTTGGGGGAGAGGTCAAGTAGGCAGAGGTGACTGTAGGCCCACAGAGGTCTGGGCAGCACTTGGGAACTACAGTTAAATGGCACAATCAACATGCATTTACTGAGAACTTACTACATGACAAAGCCTAGATATATACCAATGGAGTATATAAAGCAGTGTTCAATTAGGTCTTCAATCAAATGCCCAGACACTAGTGCATAAGTGTTCAGAGAGCAAAGGAGATCAAGGAGATGTCCCCTAAAAACTTTTTGAACCAGAAGCCTTGGAGAAAAGGTTTTTGGAAGTGGGGTAGTTGGAATTACTTCCTTAAGAAAAATTTTGCCCTAGCTGGCTGCTGGTGGCCCACACCTATAATCCTAGCTACTCAGGAGACTGAGATCTGAGGATCATAGTTCAAAGCCAGCCTGGGCAGGAAAGTCTGTGAGACTCATCTCCAGTTAACCACCAGAAAACCAGAAGTGGCGCTGTAGCTCAATGTGTTAGAGTGCTAGCCTCAAGCAAAAGAGCTCAGGGACAGTGCCCAGGCCCTGAGTTCAAGCCTCATGACCAACAACAACAACAAATATAAATAAATAAATAAATAAAATAAAAAGGAGAGAGAAATTTTGCCCTATCCCCTACCCTTCCTAGGGCTGAATCAGGACCTGGTGACAGTATATTCGAGCAACTGTGAGAAAGCTGAATCTGAGATGTTTCCCTCCCCCACCTTGTTTTCCTTTCAAAACTCCACTTTGCTAGGAGCCCTGCATTGAGCACATAGGAATCCCACCCTTTCCTGGTGTGTCTGTTTCTCCTGGGCTGGCTCCTGTGGAGTGGGGATATGGTTGATGGTCCCACCCTCCCCCATTCCCACAGTGTGTACCTGCTGCTCTACCTGCAGGACCCGGAAAGGTGAGTAGCAGCCAGCCTCCTTGCAGCTTGCTGGGCTCTCGCCTCAAGAGGAGGCTCTAACCAGAGTGACAATGCTCCAAAGTTCTAGGGGTTCTGGTCCTGGTACCACCAAGAGAGCCCACTTACTAGCCGCTTTGCCACTCACTAGCCGTGCGGTTTTGTGTGAGTCACCTAACTACTCTGAACCTCAGTTGCTTCCATCTTGAAATGAGGTTAGAGCTCACCATTCTCCTACCTCCCTGCACTGTTGTGAAAAGTAGCCATGAAGGAGCTTTTACAAGGACAATTACTATTTGAGCCTTGTTCCAGCGAAGAGAACTCAGAGAGAGGATGAATCTGGGGTCTCCCTGTTCTGGATTGTTCCTGCCCAGTGTGTGTGAGTGACAGCTTGGTGGAGCCACTGCTGCCCTGCCACTGGCCATGTGACACCCCCAGGGCCTGATCCTCCTGTTTGTCTAACTTTAACTGGATACCTTGGGGACTAGGAAGGATCTAAACTAACAGCTTCTCCATGACACCCCCCCTTCCTGGCTTCTCCATGGAGCAGCTGTCCTTGGCTCTGAAGGCTGGAGGGGCCATCCTAGCCCAAAACCTGCTGGCTGATGCGAGAAATAAAGAAAGGCACACAGTGCCCTTGATATTGCCTGTGGTGCTCCCCTGGAGCTACAGAGACACTTGCTTGCTCCTCCCATATCCACACCAGGACATGAACCTGCATGCATGAATGTTTTGCTCTCCCTTTAATTTCATAGCAATAAATCTTTTAAGGTCTTTGGAAGAACAAGGGGTGTTGAAGGGCTGCAAATCCAAGGTAAGCAGCAGTCAGAAAGTGCTGAGCAGGGACACAGCTAGAGAATAGTGTTCTACCCTGGCTCCACTAATCAAAGCACCTCCCTCTGGTGCCTCCAGTCCACATTGGAAGTTGAGGGGCACACAGATATTTTCAGGGCTAGGACTCAGGCCCAGTCGTCCTCCAGAAACAACCATGCAGTTCTGGTGAGCCCAGGTGACCAGAGTTATTTGTACCTATTCATCCTTTAAAAGTTTGAATCTGAGTAGAAGCCAAGCTTCTCTGGCAAAGAAGTCCTTGAGACTCTTTTTTTTTTTTTTGGGTCCGGTCCTGGGGCCTGAACTCTGGGCCTGGGCACTGTCCCTCAGCTCTTCAGCTCAAGGCTAGCGCTCTACCACTTGAGCCACAGCGCCACTTCCGGTTTTTTTCTTTTTGCTTATGTGGTGCTGAGAATTGAACCCAGGGCCTCAGGTATGCAAGGCAAGTGCTCTACCACTGAGCCACCTTCCCAGCCCCGTCCTTGAGACTCTTAACTCTAATAAACTATCAAAAAGCTGAAAAGTGGAGCTGTGGCTCAAGTGATAGAGCACTACCCTTGAACAAAAGAAGTTCAGGGTCAGTGCCCAGGCCCTGAGTTCAGGCCCCAGGACTGGCACCACCATCCCTAAAAAAAAGTGTGAATCTTGGCTGGGAGCATGGCTTAAGTCGTAGACCACTTGCCAAGCAAACAGAAAGCCCTGAGTTCAATCCCTGGTATTGAGCAAAAAAAAAGAGTTTGAATCTTTAAATCCATGACTTCTAATACTGTCATAGGGGACCAGGAAGGGCGATACTTACACAGTTCCATTCTGTGCTACTGTCACTGCTCTGGGCCACTCTGAGAACCTTCATCTGCTGTGACACCTGGTGGTTTCCTAATCACAAGCTACATTCCAGCCATTTAAATATAACTGCAGCTGATTGTAGGAATTGTACGAGTTTGGGCAGGCTGTTACATACAGAGCAGAGCCAGTCCAGGATTCAGTGGTTCTCCATCCCAGAATGGATGGGGGTTGGTAGGGAGTAGACCTGGCTAGGCTGGCATCAGACCTCTTTCCTAAGGAGGGCAGGCCTTGTTCACAATCGAATAAACTGGAGTTCTGTTGCCACTGCTCAGGGATGCTCATACAGCATTGCCTGCCATGGCCTTGGGAAAATAGTGCCCTCTCTGGGCCTGAGTCTCTCTCTCTCTCTCCTTAAGGTTATCGGCTTGGGCTGGATGTCCCTGGGGTCCTTCTAGCTCTGCCAGTCTTTGCAAGTGAAGGACATAGGCTGTGAGGTGGTGGAGGATGGTGTGGGGGAAGGCTTGTTTTGCTTCAGGGCAGGATGCCAACTCCCAGGCATCAGAACCAGAGAGAAGAACCAAGGGGTCACAGATGCTTTCCCAGCCTGATGTCATGGTGAGGGGGTGGGGGCTGATCTCATCAAAGCCTGGGAAGGCTCACAGCATTTGGAGAACTTGTCAAACCTCCGGATCCTTGAGCAAAAAGTATAATTTCCTAAGGAAATTGTAAATCTAGATCTTAATTTGGGGTTGAGGGGGCTGGAGGGGAGGGTGTGGCATTGCGCCACTAAGTCCCTCATAGGGCAGTGACTGCCTTGCATGGAGTCAGAGGCCCCAGGGAGCAGTTTGTTCTTAGTTGCACATATTTCAGATCCCAGGAGAACATTCTTGTCCCACTTCAGTTCCAGTCCTGCCTGCCTTTCTGTCTGCCCTTTCCTGCATGTCTTTCTCCCTTTCTTTGTGCTTTTCCTCTTTCTCCACCCGCCCCCCACTTTTTTCGCCCTGTCTACCTACCTTGACAGAACATGTACCCACACTCAGAATCACTGCATGTAATCAGTCAGAGAACTTTACCCCCTAAATCAAGTAGCTGTTACCAAATAGTAAGCATGTGTGTAGGTTTCATCCCCAAGGACGCGGAGCCTAACCTGTGTTCTTTTCTCTCTCCTCGGTGGCTGCTGGGGACCTGGATGTAAGTGTTCCAGAAAGGCATGCTCCTCACACACATTTGCTGCCTTCCATTAACCCAGCGTGTGCTGTGGGGCTGTGTTTGCTAACCTGAGAGTGATGTGCTGTGCTACAAGGATGGGCCATCCAGGGGTTCAACTCTGGAGGCGCCCTCAGACATTTAAAGAACTTAGCTCCCTCCCTCCCTTCCCTTGGAGGGGAGAGGTGGAGCCTGAGGTTCACCTGTTCTACGGTACTGGCATTGGGGCACTTGCCCAATTGTTTTGCTGTGGGAGACAATAGGGACCCTTTCCTAGAGCCACCCAGCCTTGGACTCCTTTGTGACAGCTCTGTGGGTTTGAGGCCTGTGCTTTTGTCACTTGAGGCTCAGAGAAGCTGTGGCCATGATCTCTCCCACACAGATCATCTCTGAGGTCATCAGGGTACTCCGGTATAGAGAGAAACTCCCTTTCAGGGTGGGAATTCACCTGTGGGAATAACACTAAGGATTGTCCTCAACCTCAGCTCAACCTGTTGCACTCAGTGGGCCATATTCTATTATCTTCTTTCTTTCTTCTCCTCCCTGTGCTAAAATGTATATAGTCTGCTTGTGCAACTGCATATGAAATAGCAAATCAAAGTAAGAAGAATGGAACCCAGGGAAGGGAATGGGCAAATAAATTGTGGTGAGGAGAATTGAAAATATCAAATGTGGGCTATTGGGTTGTGGACAGTCAAGTATGCCAGGCTTCCTCACGCAGCGCCACCACCATTAGTTAGGATATGCAGGGCCCATGGTGCCCTGGGGCTCTGAGGCTTAGCTCTTGAGTCCCAAGAGTAAGACTGAATATTATAAACAACATTCTTGGCAAAAAGTGTTCAGGGCAGATGATGGCTAGGGTTTTTGTTGTTTTGTTTTGTGCTAGTTCTGGTGCTTGAATTCAGATCTAGGCGTTGTTTCTGAGCTTTTTTGCTCAGGACTAATGCTCTACTGCTTGAGCCACAGTCCTACTTCTGGCTTTTTGATTGTTAATTAGAGACTTTCTTTCCCAGGCTGACTTGGAACCGTGATCCTCAGATCTCAGCCTCATGAGTAGCAAAGATTACAGGTGTGAGCCACGGCACTCAGCCTTGGCTCTTCTTTTTGTAACTTTTGGCCCCTAGCTACCTGTGCTGACCTCCCTTGCTCCCAGGCTCTGCTCAGCAGAGTACTAGTTTCAACTCCTTCCTTCGTATCTGGATTATTTTTTTGACTGCTAGGGACCAGAGTATCACTTCAACCCTGTAGTCCTTGCTCAAGGACTCTGTGGGATACATTCTCAAAGCCCTGTTGGTTTCCGTCCTAGGGTGGTGGTAGTGGTGGTGGTGGTTATTATTGCAGTGTGTGAGTTTGCTGCTCAGCCTCAGTACATCAGACCTGGTGAATGGCACAGATTGTTAGATCCCTAAGGATCTATTCAATACCAGTGGAAAGAATTAGAATGGGTTTAGAGAGAACAGCATGTGCACATGTGCACATGCAGAGGCATAGACTGGACAGAATACAAGTCCACTTCCAGGATATGGGTTTGTTGCTAGATTGGGCTTGGCTAGCCTGTTTCTGGAGTTGAGCGTTGGTCCAGGAGATTTAGGTCCTGGGCAGCCCTGTCTCTTCTTCCTTTTGCATACAGGAGTTATCTGTATCTGGAGGAATGTCCTGGGTGGTGGGTGTCAAGCTCTGAATGAGGCAGAGCTGAGCTCTTTGAGATAATGCCAGGATTCCACCTAATGTAGTGGATGAGTAACCACTGTGCCTGACCCAGAGTCAGGTGTACAGAGGGCATGAAGAAAAATCTGCCATGGTCCTACAACTAAAGGATGCTTTCTGCTGAGCTGAAGTAGTGAGAACTGGCATGGGGCATGATCACCAGAGCGTTTGGCATGAGCCTTGTAGTATGGATGATAAATGCAGTTGGAGTCTCAAGCTGGGGAGGCCCAGAGTCTTCACAAAAGTCTCTCTAGATTATGGTGTTCAGATTTAACAGGATCCAAAGAATCCAACTGCTTTGGGCAGGAGAAAAGAGCGAAAAACAGGCTGAGGGAAGCACAGGGTGAAAAAAACTAAGGTGCCTTCATGACTTCTGAGCAGTTCATTCTGTCCACCCACCATGCCTCTTTGCAAGGTCTAGTTCAGGCAGCAGCGCCCTCATGCTGCTCCCTGCTGGCTGCTAGTAGGTGTGGCAGTAGAAACTTGGAAATGCTGCTCAGGATTCAGTTGTGAGCTTTACTCCTTATTACTACAGTGCAGCCAGCTCCCTGCTCATGGAGAAAGCATGTTTGGGGCTGACAGGTCTTGGGGGTCCAGGCAAGAGCTCAGGTTTCTATCTTCAGACCTCAGTCTGGTTGGACTCAATGAGCCAAGGCTGTTCTAGCTCAATCTGTAATTCAAGGTTAAAATAATGTACAAAGTGTAGAAAGATGTGTCTGTGGATTTCAGATTAAGTTGGTGTAGGCAAAGAATAGTTTACATCTTCACACTAAGGACCACCTGAGTAGGCAACAGGAAGTAGACTGCACTCAATGAGAGTTAATTCTGGAACTTTTCCTGTGGGTTTCTTCAAAGCAGACTGAAATAGGAGTGTAAATGTCATTTTATTGGAGTAGTAGTAAGAGGAATCTACATTCAGATTCTGTTCCCCCTCCTTTTCTAGGATGGGCTTTTGAAATGAAAAATCTGCATAGCTTTACTTAAGGTTTTTCCTGGCATTTTACGGCCTGTCTCTTGAAGAATGTTTGAAGCCCAATATAAAGCATGTCAACAGTGCTTGTAAAATGTATATAGAGAACCATATTTCTTCCCTAGAGAAGACCTCCCCTTAACCAGGCGCTGGTGGCTCACGCCTATAATCCTAGCTACTCAGGAAGCTGAGATCTGAAGATAGCGGCTCAAAGCCAGCCTGGGCAGGAAAGTCCCTGAGTCCTTTTTTTTTTTTTAGGTCGGTCGTGGGGCTTGAACTCAGGGCTTGGGCGCTGTCCCTTAGCTCTTCAGCTCAAGGCAAGTGCTCTACCACTTAAGCCACAGCCCCACTTCCAGTTTCTAGTGGTTTATTGGAGATAAGAGTCTCACGGACTTTCCTGCCCTGGCTGGCTTTGAACCGAGATCCTCAGATCTCAGCCTCCTGAGTAGCTAGGATTATAGGTGTGAGCTACCTGCGCCCGGTTTCTATGAAACTTTTATCTCCAGTAAACTACTAGAAAAATGGAAGTGGTGCCGTGGCTCATGTGGTGGAGTGCTAGCCTTGAGCTAAAGAAGAAGACCTCCCCTCTCCTTTGTTTTTTTTTTCTTTCTTTCTTTTTTCCTTTGGTTGGTTGTGGGGCCTGAACTCTGAGCCTGGGTGCTGTCCCTCAGCTCTTCAGCTCAAGGCAAGCACTCTACCACTTGAGCCACAGCACCACTTCTAGTGTTCTGGTGGTTATATGGGGATAAGGGTCTCACAGAGTTCCTGCCTGGGCTGGCTTTGAACTGCAGTCCTCAGACCTTAGTCTCCTGAGTAGCTAGGATTACAAGTGTGAGCCACTGGCACCTGGCTTTCCTCTCTCCTTTCTAATAGATTCTTTCCAAAGCATTCTTCAAGTGTGGAGTCAGATGTAAGTTGCCGAGTTTGGCATATCTTAGGACAGCTGCTGCTTCTCCTAGGGAAGTGTGCCCCTTGTAGTTGTTTAGTAGATTCGAAGCCTGTGGTTGTTTCTGTGCATACCATCTAGTCCATCTCATAATTACAATCTCACCATTTTGAACCTCTTCCTCCCGCTTGCAGTGTCTCAATGACACTGGTGCTTCCTCAGACATGGCACCTCGGCTGTCCTAACAGGCCTGGCTTGTGGTGCTATATCTAACCTTACCTTTCCCATCCTCCTTTCCTGCTTTCCACACTGATCCCTCCTTGCTGTACTTTGTCTCCTCTGTGTAGATTGTAAATGGACATTAAGTGGTTGAGGGAGATGTGAATGAGGGTGGTGTGAAGGCATGGGAGCCCCACCAGGTCCAAAACCCACTGGCATTTTCTGACGACGAGGAGGAAGACCTGCTGGAGTTCATGTACAAGTATAAGGCACCGAAAAAGACGGAATTGCCCCTGGAGGTACACTGTGTCTGGGGATGTGGGTTGGAGCATGTTTTTGTCCAGGAGGGATTGCCCTGGAGATCTAGGGGTGCTGAGAAAGGCATTTATTGGGATATCCAACATCTCTCAAGTGCTTAAGGTGATAAGGTCTCCCTTCATCAAACAGGCAGGTAACTAATTCTTTCTAGAAACAGGAGAGATAGTAAAGCTTGATTTTGATCATTTTTTGTTCTAAATATCAACAGGTAACTTAAGATAGTGTGTCAGTGGAAAGCAACCCAAAGAAGTGTTTTGGTGGAAGAAAAATTCAGAATGTTAATTGACAGGTTTTTATAAATAAGGCTTTTCACCACTCCAAGACACAGCACCGCACCTGGTACAAATTCAATGTGGGTGACGGGTACTGTGGATGTGATGGTCTCTGGTAGCAGGAGGAAGGAGCCTGGAGCTCTTGAGCTTTATGTATGTATGTAAGTGGGGAGCCAGCAGAATCTGGGGACCTCAGAGACTTCCCCTCTATCTGCTCAGTTTCTTCCATTCCTGATTTGCTGACTCACAAATCTGGAACAAGTTGGGTGTCCCTTCTCTGGATGATACAGGCCTCTGAGAGTCAGATGAAGAAAATTGAAATGCTTACCACACCAATAGGGAGGCCCAATCTTCCTGTTCATACCTGGATGGTAGTTGGGACTATTCAGTTTTCAGTTCATCATATTCCTTTCCAAGGTTAAGTGTACAGGAATCAGTTCTTTTCTTTTTGTGGTGCTGGGGATCAAAGCCAAGGCCTCCCACCTTCTAGGCATGCACTCTAACACTGACCTGTATGTCTAGCCCATAAGGATTAGTTCTATTTACCAGAGGAGATCCATCTAGGCATTAGGAAGAACGAAAGCCTACAGTGGGCATGGGAGGGGATGCAGTGAGGGTACAAATGTCCCACTGTTTATTGTAACAACCAAGGGGCAGGTGACTTACAAAGGTGAGTTACACTGCTTCTGAGCCTGGGTCCTATCCATAGGTTGGTGGTGGACACTTTCTTGTGGCAAGGCTGCCACCCACGGACCCTGTGTGAGTACCCAAGCCTGCTCTGTGCTTGAATCATTCTCTCTTCCTATGTGCCTACCTGGCATGGAGCCAGACACCATGCAGTGGGGGTGAGCAGTACATGGACTTGCTGTCAGGAAGTTCACAATCTGGTGGGGATTCTGGGTGCAAAGTCCTTGGCTTTGGGGCCATACGAAACAGTACTGACAACAAAGGCAGTGACAAAACCTGGCTATGTGTGTTTGGGCAGTGGGGAGAAGGGCTCAGCAAAAGCTCAGCCCAGGAGACTTTTTGGGTCATGGGGCTTGAACTCTGGGCTTGGGCGCTATCCCTGAGCTCTTCAGCTCAAGGCAAATGCTCTACTGCTTGAGCCACAGCGCCACTTCCGGTTTTTTTTCTAGTGGTTTATTAGAGATAAGAGTCCCTCGGACTTTCCTGCCCTGGCTGGCTTTGAACTGAGATCATCAGATCTCAGCCTCCTGAGTAGCTAGGATTACAGGCGTGAGCCACCGGCACCTGGCTTCCAGAAGACTTCTTTTAAAAACCTGTTTTTTTTTAATTTAAATTTTAATTTGTTATTATAAAGGTGACATACAAAGGGGTTACAGTTACATAAGTCAGGTAAAGAGTACATTTCTTTTTGGGCAATGTCACAACTTCCCTTACTCTCCCCAGGAGACTTTTGGGCTGGTGCTTAGGAGAATTAGGCTATGTGCAAGCCTGGAGACAGGGAGGGCTTTTGGTCAGAAGGAACAGCAGTGTAAAAGGACACAGTACAGATAGAGAAGGTTTTCTTATCTAGTTTCAGAGAAGTTAATAGGAATAGAGAATGAAAAGTGGAAGGGGCTGGAGCCAGTTGTATGAACCTCTGGGTGCTATGCCAGAACAAATTCTTTCCCTTTCTTTCATTTTCATCGCAATTCCTGTGATGTTTGTATCCTACGGAAGAGTGGGGTCCCTTGAGCCATTTTTGGGAGGGGGTGAGGTGTTCCCCATGATAAGTGAAGGTGGTATTTGCCTTTGTAGTGTGGTTTGCTGTGCAGTAAATGGTTCCACCTCCAGAATGGGGACTGGCAATTTGGTGATGGAAATTTGAAGCATGCATCAGGAAACAGGAGGCCAGTTCCCAAAGGAGCTGCAACAGGCCAGGCTGGGAGACATTTCTCTGATGAGTCACTCCTTAAGATCATTTGCTCCCCAGGTAGAAACAACAAAGATGCGTCACTCTTCGGGCCAGACATTCCATTGGGAGACCTGAAGAAGTAGAACATGAAGAACCCAAGAGGGAGGTGTCTCCTCAATGTACTCGGCTTCACAGGGTGTGCAGGGTGCAACTCTGTGATTCCTATTGTGGAGAGACCCAAGAAAGACCCCAGATCTGCCCACTAGCTCGCAACCATGTGAAGAGCTAAGGATCTGAACATTACCCCACCCCAAGGTACCATCCTCAAAACAACACACTTGTGCCACACTGAAGAATTTCTTTTTCTGTTTTCTCTACCAGGCACCGCCTAGAACCCTTCGATCTCGCTTCAGGAAGAAAAGTACCTCATCCTCGGCCACTGAAACCACGTGAGTGAGTGAGATGAGCCAACAACACTGGATCCAGAATGTTTCTTCTCTGCCTTAAAGAGCTAGTCATTAATAACACAGAAATCCGCAGGCTGGGTGTGCTTTGAGTGTATAACCTCACAGACACGGCCTTTATTCGCTCCCCTCTTCTGCCTATAAGAAATTCATTCTTTCTCTTCTTTCTCTCTCTGTCTGTCTCTGACTTTCTCTCTTTTTCTGTTTGTCTGTTCTTTTCCTTCCTTAAAATTTTGCTGGGGAGAGCCTAAGGGCGAGGTCAGGGGTGAGCCTTTAAGTCTCCTGAGGTTAGTTAGCCATTTCCCACAATTGGATTGTCTTTACAGACGGCAGTGTTTTTAGAAATGCAAGCAAAATCACCCCTATGCTGCTGAGATGTACATTTGTAATTTATTTGTTGCATATTTAGTTTTTAGTTCTGTAAATGCAAATGAAGTTTTTTTAAACCTTTTTTGTTCTTGGTACTAATATTTTGGACTGTGATGTACAGAATTATGGCTTTGGCTTAATATAATGAATTTACCGATGCTGTCAGCAGTTCTGATAAGAAAAAAAATGTAAACAAATACTTTTGGTTCTGGACGATGGCTCCCATGTTCTTATAAAGATCCCAAATCCAGTTTTTCCAGTGGGAAGATGGTCCACCTTCTTCAGATGCTTGTGTAGTCAATAGAGGGAGGTCAGGAGACTAGAGACTGCATCTTAGCAACAGGCATGAGTGTTGGTGGGAGGCCGGGGAATGACTCCAGGATAAGGGAAGAGTCAGGGAGCTCATCGCTTCCTTGGAGTCAGGATTGGGAGTTTCCAAGCCCATTCAGGGGCACTCCTGGTAAAACGTATTGGGCTTGAGGACTCACAGTAAGTGACTCTTTCTTCATAGTGGTCAGTGCTGCAACTCATTTCCCCAGGTAAAGGAACCTATGATCTGAGCACCTTGTTTTTAGAGAACACTAAGCAAAAACAAACCAATAAAGCTAGAACTAAACCTTGTTTCAGATAGTGCTAAAATAGATAAGACACGTGTGTAACAACCAGAATGGCAAGTTCTAGAAAGGCTTTTAAGATTCAGGGCAGCTAGGGTGCCCAGTCCTCAGTCCTCTTTTCTGTGTGGAATGTGAGTGGTGAACTTATTCTTGTGGGCACTCTAGGATTTTAGGTTATTTTCTATATGCCAGGATTGCTTAGTAGGAGAATGAAACATTAAGAATTTGGGGAAGAATCTGGTTAAGATGACATTGTGATCTGAGGTAGTTGCCCTGCTTTCTGGGAGCTGAGCCAAAATGTAGGACTAGTATATTTGTGCTTAAGAGTTGATGTTTTCTTTCAGTGTAATGCATGCAATGGTCACAACCCAGTTACTCGTATTTGGATTGTGTCTGTTCATAGATATGCCCTGAAGATTAGAGTAGTGTTATATGCCACATAGAGCTGTTAACTGACTGCAAACAGGCTCAGTTCAAACCTGCTCCATTACTTAGCTACACAAACATGTATCGATGGCCTTTGCTCATCATGCATTATTAGCTGGATCTTAGCCACTTCACCAAGGGTTTTAGTTACATTCATTGCTGCCCAGGCATACATACTGAAATGCCTTTCCATAATTCCTCTGAAGGTGATTTTGTAATTTACAAAAGAATTTAAGAATAGAAGGCTAAAAGCAGATTTGTGGCTAAGAGGGCAGAGGCTCTCTGCTCACTGAATGTGTCCCACACTTGTCAATATTGAACCTGTTAGGAAAGAGAGAAAATCTGTTCTCTTCAAGCTCACTGAATAGCTCCAGACAGGAAAAATACTCTTTACCATGTATTTACTCTCTTAGTTGGGAGTACTCATAATTATCAGAAGCCAGTGGGGAAGGGGGAAGCTTAAGTTAAGCAGCTTTTTAGCAAAAAAAAAAAAAAAATTTTTTTGGCCAAAATTATGCCTTTAGCAGTAGAGTTTAAAATCCTATTATATTTTCATCATTTTACAATGGAAAATTCTAACAAGGCTAGGATATCAAATTTGCACTCAACTATGCCAAAAAGTTTGATGACACACTCTACTCTCAGACATGCTGTATTACTCCTCATTTAAAATTAAAAAAAATACAAAGGTATCTAAACTGTTGTCTTAATGTAAATGTATCTATTTTTCCTTCAAGTGTTGATTAGGGAATAGGTGTCTCTCAAAGACACACTGTACAAGTGAGAGCAGTTGTCACTTATTTCTGGCAACATGTGTTTACTCATCTGACAAGCTGTATATTTGTGTATGGACTTAACATAAAATGTGAATGCCTATCTGTGTACACTTAGTGTGGTATTCTGTCTAGAGGAGAAAAATGAATGTTTTTATGGATTTACAGACACAGGCTGTTTACAAAATGCTAGTTCAAAAGTCTGTAATTTTTCCCATGTCATAATTTTTTAGTTCCTTGCCATTGAACACCGATTCCATTTCTGAAGTGGTGAGATGTGGTCTTATGCTTATCAACTGGAGAGTTTAGTCATAATCGCTGTTGGCTTTGTGTGAATAGCTTGCTCACTTAGCTGGCCTTCCAGATATGTGTCCTCTGTGGTGAACTGTCCATGTGTTTGTGCTTAACAGTGCTGTCCACTGCTGGCCATTGGTAGTAAGCCTTCCCAGTTCACCCTGAGAAGTATTTGAAATGGCGAGGGATGTGCTTTATCATCTTTATAGCAGATACTCTGGATTGTGACTGTGTACACTTCCTCTACTTTATTTCTAACTCTCCATAGAAGGATCTAGAATTAAATAGTAGACTGGATTGTGTATTAAAAGGATGTTACAGTATTCCAAAGGCTGAAGTTCTGCTGTTTTGTTATAATGCCTGATATACATCTTGAATAAAGTCTTAAACATTTTTCTTTAAAAAAACTTTATAATGTTGGGTTTATGAAAAAAAATATTTTTTTAATGAAAGGTCACAAGGATTAGAAGCTGAGTGCTCAACCACTATCTGGCCTACAGACTTAGCCCCGAGCTTACTGCATAGGATTAGTGTGATTAAAAAAAAAAATTAACCAGGCATGGGTGGCTTATGCCTGTAATCCTAGCTACTCAGAAGGCTGAGATCTGAGGACCACGGTTCAAAGCCAGCATGGGCAGGAAAGTCTGTGAGACTCTTATCTCGTTAAACACCAGAAAACCAGAAGTGGGGCTGTGGCTTAAGTGGTAGAGCCTCTCCTTGAGCTGAAGAGCTCAGGGACAGTGCTCAGGCCCAGAGTTCAAGCCCTTTAACAAAATAAATAATTAACTAGTGTTGGGAATGTGGCTTGGTGGTAGAGTGCTTGCCTAGCATGCATGAAGCCCTGGGTTCAATTCCTCAGTATCACATATGCAGAAAAGGCCAAAAGTGGTGCTATGGTTCAAGTGGTAAGAGTGCTAGCCTTGAGCAAAAGAAGCTCAGGGACAGTGCCTGGGCCCTGAGTTCAAGCCCTAGCACTGGCAAAAAAAAAAAAAAAAGTGGCTTACAACTGTAATCCTAGGGTGAGATCTGGGGATCTCAGTTCAAAGCCAGCCCAGGCAAGAAAGTAAGACTCTTTTCCCCAACTGACCATCAGAAAACCAGAAGTGGTGCTATGGCTCAAAGTGGCAAAGCATTAGTGTTGAGCAAAAGAACTCAGGGACAGTGCCCAGATCCTGAGTTCAAGCCCTACAGCTGATAAAAATAAACATTTTGAAAATGATCACACAAACATAAACCTGAGTCACTTTCACAGCTTTAAAAAATGGGTAGAGGGCTGGGAAGGTGGCTCAGTGGTAGAGTGCTTGCCTAGCATGCATGAGGCCCTGGGTTTGATTCCTTAGCACCACATAAACAGAAAAGGCCGGAAATGTGGTTGAAGTGGTAGAGCACTAGCCTTGAACTGAAGAGCTCAGGGACAGTGCCCCATGACCGACAAAAAAACCCAAAAAATAAAAAAATGGGGCCAGGTGTGGTGGTCACGCCTGTAATCCTAGCTACTCAGGAGGCTGAGATCTGAGAATCAAGGTTCAAAGCCAGCTTGGGCAAGAAAGTCTGAGATTCTTATCTCCAATAAACCACTCAGAAAACCAGAAGTGGCGCTGTGGCTTAAGTGGTAGAGTGCTAGCCTTTTGCTGAAGAGCTGAGGGACAGCGCCCAGGTTCCTCAGTACCACCATAAATGGAAAAGGCGGAAGTGGCACTATGGCTTAAGTGGTAGAATGCTAAAGAAACTCAGGGACAGTGCCTAGGCCCTGAGTCCAAGCCTGTGGACTGGCCAAAAAAAAAAAAAAGGTAGAAACTGGAGAACTGTGAAAACACATTGTTCATTGATAGCAGTTCATTGATAACAGTTTTACTGTTGAAAGACAGACATTGGTGCATCATTTTGCTTAGTGTTTCTTCATCTGCAATGGAATGAGCACTTGTACAGTAGAGGGGAGGGCAGGGCAGCCTATGTGCAGGGCACTGTGGATAACGGGGATGACCTTTGCCCTCTGTAGTCCTTGTCTGATTTAAAACAGGAGCCAGTACACTCAATCTTCATCCTTCATGGGGAGGTTCAGAGATGTGAAAACATCAGAGTTAAACACAAGTTCATTTTTTTTGCTTTGGCACAAGTAGCAAGGAAAAGAAGCAGATTCAGCTGACAGAAAGCAGCACAAAGATGGAAAGAAAGGCTGGAGATCCATTCATTTATTCATGTAACAAGACAGGATCAATGTCAATGGAAGATTACCACCAGAAAAACAATGTTACAAAATTTAAAGGCTGAATTGAAAGTGTTTTGAAGTACTGAGAACTTTCAAAGTGACTAAGTCACTTTGCTGATTTAAGACATTAATTTTCTTTTTTTTTTGGTCGGTCGTGGGGCTTGAACTCTGGGCCTGGGCGCTGTCCCTCAGCTCTTCAGCTCAAGGCGAGCGCTCTGCCACAGCGCCACTTCTGGTTTTCTGGTGGTTTGTTGGAGATAGGAGTCTCACAGTCTCTCCTGCCCGGGCTGGCTTTGAACCTCGATCCTCAGATCTCAGCCTCCTGAGTAGCTAGGATTACAGGCGTGAGGCACCAGCGCCCGGCTAAGACATTAATTTTCTTATGTGGTTAGAAGACTAAGTAAGTGAAATATACAGAATTCCAAGGAATTGGATTAGGGTCTGGGAACCTAATAGCTATACTTTGGGGTAATTTACTTAACCTTCCCTAAGCTTCAGGCTTTACTTTCATCAAATTTAAATTAGGGATAACACAAATGGCATCTTCTTTGTAAAGTTGTTATGATGTTGAGTTTTGCAGCTACGTGCCCAGTATTGTGGACATGTAGATGTTCTATACATTACCCATATATGTCAATACTATCTATGTACTTCCTAAATTACACATGTACTTGAAGGTCACTCAGGTGACTTTTCAAGCTTTGTAACAAAAGCTGTTTTACTGTCAAGTTATAGAACTAGTTTTGATAAGCCATCCTATCCAAAACAAGAATTCTATATATGAAATCCATCCTAAACAGGGTGCCCATCATCCCTTCTACTTCAGCCCATTTCTGCATAGTGAAGTCCTGGTCTGCAGTCCTGTCCCACCAAGGCACTCTAAGGCCCCCAAAAGCCTTGAATTATTACAAGAACAGGACAGTAAGCAAAAGCTGTGAAT